GTATTAATATCTATATCTATATATCTATACCTATATCTATAGTGGTATTTATATATGTAATTATATCTATATCTGCATCTATAATTATATCTATATTCATATCTATATATAAATTTAAAATAATTCTATGAATATTAATATTATWAATAATACATTATTAATAATAATATTACCACACCATTAAAACCTTCATCTTAGGCAATCAATATAACATTTTCAGTATCTATTGCTATAAAGAAACTTGACTTTGGTCCACTGCATTGAAGTTCTGGATTTTTGATATAGTGTGGCTTGAAATGTTGTCCTTTTGTTGTTTTTAATTAAACTAGTCAGAAYTGAAGTGTTTGTTTCATAATAGCCCTCTTTGAAAAGCTTAGGAGTTTGACCCTATGAAATACAGTAAAATGCATTTTTTCCTCCTAACACATTCTATAACAAAAGTTCCAGTTCTCCCTTGGCTTTATTAGTAACACTTTCCAGTGATTTGCTGTGCTTCATGGTTACTGCATAGTGTTTAATACCTTCATGACACAATCTCTCTTTTGTAGGCTACAGGAACTGTTTTTCTGGTTGTTCAGTGAAAAGCTCATGGACTTTTATACTATCCATTCATGCAATCTTTGAAACATTAAGTCACCTGAAAAATGCATGCACAAACCTGCATTTCTTATTATTAGCATCACCAGTGAAAGTTAATGTAGGATGTAATACCCATTTTTTTTTCATTATAAGACTGAATTACTTTCTGTTCAAATATTTGTAGAGATCCAGACAGTTTATATACCACTACTGGCTGAATATTATATTCACTGCCAAATCTCACAATTCTTCAACAGCAAAAGACCCAAAACTATCTCCATAGATGAAAATATGGAGCCAAGCCCAACAGGAGATTTCTATCCTTCTCCAAATTCACCAGCTGCAGGGAGTAGGACATGGCATGAAAGAGATCAAGGTGAGTAACGTGGAATTATTTTACCTTGAAATATGTTCAAGTATACAATCAATCACTGCATCTGCCATCCCATTGCTGCCACAAAATGATGGGGTTTTTTTAAGATTTTTTTTCTGTATGGTGTATGTATTTGCTTGTTTTGTAAATGTAGTTAAAACCAACAAGCAACAAGGATATTGTATAAACAACCATCATTAATATCAATGTCAATATCAATGATAATGATGATGATGATGATGATGATGATGATGATGATGATGATGATGATGATTTTTCTGTCTGATGATAACCTTATTGTTTGAAAAGATGCGTGGTAAGTGAAATACTTGATATTGTGTATGGTATGATCATCACAGTGGAATTTGGAGTCCAGTTCTTTCAGACAAAAAATCAAAACATCTCCTTACCCTGGTTTGGTCAACATAGGATTACTTCGTTTCTGTGTTACTATGACATGGACATTTAGTCTGTGCCATGTGACTCAGAGTAGATCCAAGTAGGCTTTTTCTGAAGAGCCCACATAGAACTCCATGGGACTCCTTCCATAGGCTGAAGGATTGGTAGGTGGTGGTGTGTTCTGGGTTATCCAAAGCAACAAACGTGTTTATGGGGAGAAGTTGTGGCTCTCAAAACAGTGAAGTTAATTATCATAGCTTTTCCTCATGTTAACGTGATGCTTTATAAACCTAGGTACCAGTGTAGGTTTTTTCACTCCCCTTTGTGAKGTGAGAATGTGTTTAAACTCATATATTTGAACAGTGTTGGTTAATGGATCCTGTGGCTGAGGTGCTGCAGCTGTCTAGAGAGACTGTGAAATGTGCAGCGTATTATGTGAAAGGGAAATAGAGAAAAAGACACGCAGTCGCTTCCTTTGTGGATCTTTCAATGTTTACCCTCAGTTTCCACTTCCACTGCTGATCACTGCTCTCAGTTCTTCAGTAACTGAGTGACCCTTTGGTCTTACCTCATTTTTATATTGTTTTTAAGCTTCTTAAAAAAAAAAACCAAAAAACCAAACCACCCTCTTTTTTATTTTTTTCTTGCTAAGTTTTCTCTTTCATCTCCATGTGCAAGGAAGTATGTGACTGGTATTTTATTTAGCTGCCTTTTACTTTTACTTTTACTTTTACTTTGTAGTTGGTCTCCTTTTAATTTGCTTTTGCCTACCCTCTTATCTGAGTTCTTACCATTAGTCTGTTCTTCTCACACAATGTTTAAAATGTCCTTTTCTTTGTAATTTGTTTTGTATTCCATTTCTCATGGASGTTTGGTACTGTCTTATTTTTGACTGTTTGAAGCATTCACTTTTGAATTCTAAAAGAAAAAAATWTTGCCTGTGGTTTTGCATAACCAAACTTAAGAACAGTAAACAGGAGTTCTGCCAGCCAGAATCTTCCTCCTTATGCAAAATACTTTCCTCTATGAGTGCTACCTGTTTTCACGTAAAACTTTACTACAGTTTTTTGCAAAAGTCTGGATCATACCTCAAATAATTTTTTTACTTTCTAGATAAATTGTTTTTGTAGTTGTAGGGAAAACACCCCACTGTTCCTCTCTGAAGTGGTCTCCACATATCCCCATTTATGAAATGAAGTCCTTTTGTGCTGCTCAGTGAGCTGTAGGGGCCTCTGAGGAGTGCACTGCCATATAGACTCCTGGGCTCAAGTCCTGCTGACAGAGCATTTCACAGATCTCTATAGTTCTCAAATATCTCAATTGCATTTTAGGTTTTGAATCATTCTTGCAAAGTATCATGTTCCATGAAACCTGGATTTGTTCATGTTTGCATGAACTTCATGTTAAASTTATCAATAGTGAACAATGTTATGATTTAAATTGCTTGAGTGTATTTGCAATGAACCTTAATTTCTGTGCCATTGGGTAGGTAGACTTCTGGACTGAAACAGCCTTTAATACGTTACATAAACTAGGGGGCTCCAATATGAGGAAGAGAGAATCAAGAGGGAAGACTTAAATCAGCATGTTTTACTTTTTCTTCCTGCAATTGACATCCCTCGCTGAACATCCTGTCCTCCAGCGCTACTGGGCCCAGTGAAATTTTACCAAACCCTGTCAGAGAGGTTTTCTTTGAGATACTGCAAGAGATTTGTTTTTTCCATTATTAAGATGTACTTCCATTGCTGCAGAGACCCATTCACTGCACTGCCCAGTGTGAAAATCATTTTACTGGGGGAAATAGAAGCCTTTTGCCCCAAAAACCCCTATATTTGTCTCCAATCACTTTCTGAGGTCATCCTGCCACTGCAGACACAATGTAAGGTAGTAACTGCAGTGCCTGCCCCTGGTGCCTGGCTCGCTGGGAAGGGGTATGTGGCAGCTCCTGGATATTTGTTCTGCTGTGAGTTTGTTAGATGCTTCATACCATCTTCATGGAACTGATTTCATTCTCTGGTTACCAGTGGCAGGACCCAAGGGAATGACATGAGGCTCTGTCAGGARAGATTTAGGTTAGATATTAGAAAAAGATTGTTCACCCATGGGGTGGTTGGTCACTGGACCTGGCTCCCCATGGAAGAGGTCAMAGCACAGTCTCACAGAGTTCAAGAAGTGTTTGGACAGTGYTGTCAGGYATGGCTCTTGGGGCTGCCCTTTGCAGGGCCAGGAATGAGACATTGATGATCTTTTGTAGGTTCTTTCCAACTCTGGATATTCCATGATGATTCYATGACTTATATGAATCTGTGTAAAAAAGTTCTTTTTGGACACAGACATCTAATCATGCGATCATGTTTATGAAAACCTATTTTCTGTTTCCTTATGCCTGCAAACAGAAAGGTAACATAAATACATTTTGAAGGTGGTTCCAATGCAAGAGTTATCACTTGTGTTACTTCCCTGTCACCTAGGGGCATCTCTGTGCTGTATGATGTTAGGGATAAATGAAAAASAAATAAGAAATAAGCCTTTTGGGGTAACATTTGTGTTTATCCAGTGTCAAAAAGGAATGCTCATGTARTCACAACAGGCACTGCTTCTTCAGGCAGTATCCACAGGTTGTCAGCATCAAAAACGCAAACCAATTCACAGTACCCACAAATAAATGTCTYTGGATATCATGCTTATGGATAAATAGCTTATCTTCCACTCTTGTGCAATTTTAACTTTTCTAGGAGAGACAACATCAGGCATAGGGTTGATATTAAAATATACCATTGCTAATTTTGATTTCATTGCCTCAGTTTTGAATTTGTCAGAGAGAGGTCTCTAACTTCTGAGCTGAAATACATCTAATTTCTTCATCATCATATCTAAATGTAATGTATTTTCGTAGAAATTGGACAGTTTTGAAAGACTTTTATCATTAAGGCTTTTCACATCTTTATTTAACTATGTTTGTAAAGTAGCAGAAATGTCATGAGTGTGGTAGTTTGGAACTGGATAGTTACAATAAAGCAACACCATCTGAAACACATTTGAATAAAATATTTAGGAGTTTCCTAGGGGTCTAAGGGGTATCTAACAGTTTTGACAGRGAGAATGGGACAAAAAATCATGGGTACCACAGAAATATATTGAGATTAAAAATAGGACAGAGGTGTGAACAGGTTTAGATCAAGCTCCCATGGCTCTGAAAAGCAAATATCTTGTAGTTTAGTASGAAAGAAGATTTTAGGCACTCTTGAAGTGATTTTGTTGTATTCCCAATAGGTTCTATACTTTCCCTGTGTGAGCATGTGTCATGAGAGGCAGGGACACGATTAAAGGAGTGCTGTTGGTGTAGCCAGCATGTGGCATTTGTGAAACTGAGGAGCAGAAATATAACTCAGTTACAGCACAATCTTGCTTATAGCAGACTCTCCCTTTGGTTGAAAAACTCCAGACTGTCCTTTTGCTGCTAAATGTCTTCTTGTCATACTACTTCCAAAAATGTTTTGATAAGATTTCCAGATGTTGGTCTTTATAGTCTGTTTTGGGGGAGCTGTCTCTTTGAAGATTTCATTCTGGGCAGAAACAAGCAAGCATCTCTTAAAAATAGTAACTTTATAGATGGCATGAACTTGGTAAAAAACAATCCACAGAGTTATGTCACAGATTTGATATAAAAATTTAACCCACCCTTCTCATTAACCAAAATTAATGTTAAAAATACGGTTTTTTTTAAAATTTATTTTATTTTTAATGTGTTGAAGTCAAATTATTAATTGTTATAGATGAAAAGACAATCTTATGAAGCTATGATACTGTCCTGGAGGTTTACTTCGTTGGCTTGTAAAAAAGTTTGTGACTATTTTAAAAATATATGTAAGCACAAGAATATGCGTAACTGTTTCAAAAACAGATTTTAAAAAAATACTGTGGAATTTTGTTGTGGATAGTGTTGTTTTTGCTTTGGAGACATCCAGTCAATGAGGGAAGATTCTGTAGTTCATGCCATTATTTTTGCTGTGTTGAAATACTTAAAATGTGCCTCTATGTGCATGAGTTTTTGAAACAGGTTTGAGGTTCTCTGGTAGAGCAAACAGGAAGATTTGTAACTGCAAAGATTTCTTGGAAGCTTTGTCTTTGCCATTAGCCTTTCAAGTAACTAACCATCCTCCAAAAATCCCACAGTCCCAGAAAAGCGAAAAGTCATCTCTGAAAATAGTGCCTTTCTTAGAAAGAAAGCCCTAACAATTAGGATTTCAATTACTGTGTCTTCTTTTAGATATTGTGCAAGTTATTCTTTTCTCTCTTATGTTTTTTTTCTTTGAATTGGATGTCTTAACAGGTTCAATAGAGTCTGAATCATGTCTTACACTTCCATCAATAAGAAATAGATCTGATTTAAAAAGTAATTTGCTGTAGAGCTCTTCCAGTCTTCCTTTCTCCTGGTTGTTGTTAATGAATTCTTTAATATGTTTTCATATAAAACAAAATTTTGAGTTCCTGCACTAGTAAGATTTTGTGAGATAGACATTAGTTTTTGCTTGAGTAATTCTCAGTGTTTTAGAAATTTGGAAATTTTATGTTGTTAAAAAAATATTCCCCTCACAATTTTA